GAGCAGTTCAGCAGACTTACATAGATACACACCTAGGGCAAAGTTCTAGTCAGTGTTTGACAAAATGGCAAAACCCGTCCTTATTTATTTATAGGCATATTTTGCACTTAGAGGTTAATAAAAGACAGTATCTGGAAAGTATCTGCACTATATATGCAAATTAAAGTCATTAGATACTTTTATAATCACATTTCCTGCTAACTAAACCTTCATGAAGCACTTAGTCTGGAATTTCTAATGCTGCTAGTGGTAAAAATCCAATCTGCTATATTTGAATGGCTCCCTAATGAGACTGAAAACCCATCAAACAGCAAATATGACTTTTTAGGAAATCATTTGCTCAAAGAGGTCAGTATTACTCGAAGGAAATGCTGTTCCATGCCAAAGTGCGCAACACAGGTAGAAGAAAAAATTGCATCCTTTCTTTACAAAGCAGAGAAATAGGGTTAAAGAACATCTTGCCCTTGCTCTTTTTCCATGAAATAGCAAGTCTTGGTAGGGCCGAAAAATTATTCCTTGCATCAGTCAGTAAGTTTGATGTATAGCGTTCATACAGTCATTAAGGTTGGATAGGACCTCATGAGGCTTCTAATCTAACCTCACACTCCAAGCACCATCAACAGTGAAGTAAGACCAAGTTTTTCACAGCTTTAGCAATTTTAGTCTTAAAAACCTCCAACAGTAAAGTTGCTCTTCTTCCCAGATGCAATTAGGAACTTGCTTCCTAAGCCAATAGCATCACAGGAAGAGTGAGAGACTTTTGCTTTCATTCACACATTAATTATTCATTTATTAAGCAAAGCAGTTCAGTTTTATCCTCAACTCTCCTACAAACATGTGGGTTTCAACAGTAGCAATTTCTGAGAAGCCACCAGCCCCTTCCTAGGCAGGAAATCCTGCACAGGCAACCTCGACTCTAGAGACAGGTTTAACAAGCATGGACAGCTGGGGAACCAACACGCAGCCCACCAGACTAGGAGGGCTTCTACTTCTGCTGCTTCCACTGACTCCCCATTAACCCAAGCTAGTCACTTGGTGTCCCTCAAAAGGTAGAAAACCTGACCAGGCTAAAGCTAGGTTCCGCAGCTGCTTGAGCCTTCGTAAAAGCAAAAGAACCAATTGCATTGCCTATGTCAAAACAAAAAGCATCCATGCTGGTGTTCCTTAAAACAGTGCCAAAATCACCGTGGCAGGCAGGGATGGGGAAGGATGCAGCAACTTGCACCCTAACTCTGGGTTAAAGCCCCAGCAAGGATGCTGCTCGCAGGAGGAGAATCCTGTTGCCACCACAGTTTACTTCAGTGAGCAGCTTTCTTTGAACCACGGCTTCCCGATGTCAAATTGAATCATAAAACAATCACCTTTTCTCTCCAAAATATCCAATATTAACTTGATCAGGTAAAACTCAGAGCATGGCTCTCAGTGTACTGCTAACAAACACATATGGAAGTGCTGGCTTATCCAAAAGGTGTCCATTCCCTCCCTCATCCTCTCCAATTAGATTAAGTGGTTTAATAAAAGAGGTTACTAATCTCTCCACAATTTGTGGATTAACAGGCTCTGTTAGTGCTTCTATTCTGGAAAACACGTTCTAAAGCCAAAGAAAGTTTTAATTAGAGGAAGACAGTACAGTTGGCCGAAGATGAAATCACAGTAATGTTGTTCAAAAGGTGCTCTTGCTGGGGAATTTACAACTTCAGAAATTAAGCTCAGAGGGAAGGTGGCAGATTTTCCTGAGCACTTTTCCTTTTGCAGGTTCCCAGATGTGCTGTCCTTTGTTACTCTTGTACTCCAACTTTGTTTGTTCAACACCATCATCTGTGGTGCACAGGCAGTAAATTTGAATCAAACCTTTGCACCAGGGTTAGTGGGTAAATAGACACATTCATTAACTCACTGTTCCTTGTAAAAATATTTGTCAAAAGAGCCTAAATTTGGCAAGCTGTAATCTAATGAGAGTATTTTTCTTATGATAGGGCTATGATGTCAGGCACAGGGAACTACACATTGCCACATAAAAGGGAGCAGGTACATAGTAAAAGCACTGAAGCTACATATTTCTACAGTACAAATGCCATTTTAAGCTTTTCAATAGTCACCTCATTACTATTTACTTAAATTACAGTAATGCCTCATTTATTCCCTGCCTGGGTCACTCTGTATGAACAAATATGAAAAGACAGTTGCTGCATCTGAAAGCTCATTTTGAAATCACAATCAATGTGTAAATATAATAAAGAAATAGCGGAGACAGAGGACACAGACCAGTGAAACAGCCGCCAAACAGACATGTTCTGCAATGCACTGGGCTGCAGGATCCAGGCACCCCACCATGAAAATGGGTCATATCTAGCAGTTGATATCAAGCCCTGCAGAGGAAAATCTGAGTGCATTTCTTGCACCAAGGCTAAGACTGCTGGTGCCACTGAGAGGGATTAAAGTTAAAGCTGGATCTCCATAGGCTAGCCTTGTTCCCAGGTGCAGTTCAGTAAGATTCAAGTGGCGACATGTAAACCATGCACAGATGTTCCTCCCGTGCATTTCTATCATCACCCACTTACTTTAGGGATATCCAAGCTTTGAATACTATCCCTTTCTGGAGAAACACCTGGTCTAGCATAGCAAGGTAACACCAAACAAGCCTCCAAGGAACAAGGGAAAAACAGCAAAGACGGGAGACACTACTGTTCAGAAAGGGAAGAAAGTACAGCTTCTAATAGACCTTCCCTTTGACTTAGCCTGCACTTTCTGGGTTTGACAGAGTAATTATACACTTTAGGGGTGGCCTATTGATTTCTCATCCAATAGTTTTATGGAGAAAAGTTTGAGCTTTTGTACTTATATAAAATATTTATTATATTTGTTTATATTTTATCAATGTATTTTAGTACAAATACACAATATGTAATAAAAATAACTGTGAGGAAGTGTATTAGCAAACATAAAAGTTTGGCACAGAATATTTATAAAATACCAAATACTGCAAATTATAAGGATATACCATTAGACAGATCTCACTGAATAGTCCATTTTTAATTCCTGAAGGAATTTATGCAAGTTTCACAGGCAAATCAGGAAGTTTTTCTTGCTGTACATAGAAAGTGACCAGAGCAACACACAGGCTCAATAGCTGGGCCAGACCTAGGGGCTATTTGAGCATAGGAACTCTCAGTTGCTGCAGACAGGTTACTGGGGTGCGTAACCATAAAGATACTCCCATTGACTTCAAGGAATCCCTCCAAAAAGGGCTACTACTTTTACCTCGCATTACACACTCATCACATGCACGAGTAGCCTATTTGTTGTGTATTATTCAATGATTTGCCCTGGCTGTGTTACGCTGAGCATCACTAACTTCTGTAATTATCTGCACATCATGTATACGGACTGTGACCAAACTATATCTCTACCCCACGCAGATCCCTCAGACCATGGAATGGTCAGAACTATGGAAGTACAAAGCAGCTAACCTAATTGTTAGATACCTTCATAGTTCCTTCATAGTGGCAACAACTAGTACTGTACAGGAATTTTGTCATATCCAGACTCACCAAAATTTCTCTGAAAGCAAAGTAATTTAGAATAAAGGGAAGAAGCGCTTTGCAGGTGCATGGAGGATACAAGGATGTGATAGAGCAATTTGGTATTAACCTATCCTGGAGGGACAGCAAAAACACATCTTCTACACAATTTGCTTGAGTTCAGTTGCTTCTCTTTCCTGCACTTGCCGCTCCTCAAGCAGTTGCCAAGTTTATAAACATTTTTTTCAAACTTGAGAACAGCTGTGGCCTATAATCACATATTTTATTTCAGCTCCGGGTTGTGGCCTGTGTTAATGGAAATGAGAGCAAACTAAACAAGAAAATAATGGAAACATCAGTCTGAACTACATGGTTAGACTCTCATTTTCCTGTCAAATTAAAGTAAATCGCTGGCCTTTGTCTTCAACCTACTAAACAGACTAAAGCAACTCTATCATTCTAAAGTCAATTTTATAGGCTTTCTTTAGTCTTTCTTCCACACTGGCCTACACATGGAAGTACCTCCTCTTTATCTAAAAGTGAAATAAAAAATTCTGATCTTATTAAAAAAAAAAAATCAATAAAGGTGTCAAAGGAGTCCTTTAAAAATCAGTCCCTCAAAAATTACCGAAGCAAAACTCCATGAATCACCCACTTAGCACACTGACAGCTTTAATCTTGCACTCTTCTGGCTCTCTTGCCTGTATTTAACTTGCTAAGCTGAGGTTCTCAAACAGTAGACCACAAAACCATGAGGAAGTGGCTATGGCTAATCCGTAGCTCCATGATGAACTGTTCTCAGAGCTTGATGAGTGAAGAAAGCCAACAGACCACGCTAAGTCCTTCTTTA